CTTTCTTATTACCAATATCTCATCAACCACCATCATCACTATCCTTATGATCAGCGTTTGTTTATCATCTTTATTGTTATGGTCACAAGCAGCGTTATCATTATCCTTCATAATTATTAATGATATCTGATGATTATTGTATCAGCATTACTAAAACATTGTTGTTATCATTACTGTCATTATCGTGGAAGTTATTAAGGTGACATCTTCCTCATTATCATTATCATTTTACTGATGACTCAAACCTTTATTGATGATGCTGATGATGATGGTGCTAATAGAGATAATGGTAAAGATGTTGATGATAAGTATGATAAAAGTCGGGAAAAAATAACAACAGAGGTAAAAGTGGTAATAAGAACAATATCAGTGATAATGATGATATTGATACTAGTAATAATATGGATGATATAATGATAAAAATTATGATAAATAATAGTAATATAATGCTGATGAATAATAATAATAAAAATGATAATTATGATAGTAATAATGATAAAAATAATCATAATAGTAATAATGATAATAATCATCATAACATTAATTGTTATTATTATTATGATGGTGCTGATAATAATAGTGATAATGTTAGTGGTAAGAATAATGATCGTTTTAACAATAACGTTAATTATAATTTTCATTATTACTATTATGATGACAACAGTAATGATAATGATAATAATAATAATAATAATAATAATAATAATAATAATATTAAAAATATAATAACTATGATAATAATGATAAAAGCAAAGAATGATAATGTAAACAACGTTAATAATGATGAAAACGATCATCATAACAATAATAATAGTAACATTCGTAGTAATAACTAGAAACTCAGAGAGCGCATACCTCCGCCAGAACAATGGGGTCGCTGGAGCAATACAACTATTCACACTTGAAGAATTATTTTGAAATCACCTCTTTCTCAAGTACACAAGTGACGTCCACGTTTCGCAATCTTTTCATAGCTTTTTGTGTTCTGTTAACCAACAAACTAACCAACACTAGTATATACACAACCTCCTTGGCGGATGTAAGAACAGTGGTAATGATAATGTTGATGATAATGGTATGGAGAACGTCATAATAAATATTATGAAGATAATGATTATTAAGATGAGTGTAATGATAATAATGATGATGATGATAATAATAATTATGGTAATGATAATGATGATGATGATAATAATTATGGTAATGATGATAATGATAGTAATGATTATAATAATAGTAATAGTAATGATAGTAATGATGATTGTAGGAATTATAATGACCACAATAATAATAATAACAATCGTTATGATAATGATAATAATGATGGTGGATGATGAATAATGATTATGAAAGAGAGATCATCACAATAGTAATGACAATATTTAGGATGATGGTGATGATAATAATGATTGTAAAGATGATCATAATTGTATTAATGTCGATAATAATTGTATTAATGATGATAATAATAACAAAAATAACAATGATGATAGTAGATAGTGATGATGATAATGAAAATGATCGTGATGATAATGATAATAATAGAAATAATAATAATGATAACCAAAAAATAGTAATGGTAATGATAATAATAATGATGGTAATTGTAATAGCAATGTTAATGATAATAATAGTAACAAAAACGATGATAATGATAACGGTAATAATGACAATGATAAGGATAATGATAGCGGTGTTTATAATGAAAATGACAATTGAAATAATGATATTAATGATGATAGGATAATGAAGACAATGGAATTATAAAGATAGTAATAATAACAATAATAACAAAAACGATAATGATAATGTTAATGATGAAAATAATATTAATAATGATAGTGACAATAATAGTAATAGCAACAAAAAATAAAGGTTATGATAATAACATCAATAATGATAATATTAATAACAATGATAGTAATAAAAATGATGATGATAATAATAATGATAAATAATAATTATGATAATAATTATGATAATAATAATAAATATAATAATAATGGAAAGACTAAGAAAAAGAATGTCTACAATAATAATAATGAAAATTATGATAATAATTATTATAATAACAACAACAACAATAATATAATAAGAGTAATAACATAATAATAATAATGATGATGATAAATAATAATATAATAATATGATAATAATTGAAATAATCAATGATAATAATAATATATAATAATAATAATGATAATAATGATTATAACAACAATAATGATAATTGTGATAATGATGATGATAACAGTAATGATAATAATAACAGTAATGACAATGAAAATGATCATAACAATGATAACAATAATAATAATAATAACGGTAATGCTAATACCAATACTATTAATACTAATGATATTGATAATGATTATAACAATAATAATAATGATGATAATTATAGGAATTTTAATTAAAATAATAAGAATTATAGTAATGATAACAATAATAGTAATGATAATAAAAATAATAAAAATGAATAATAACGGTAATAATGATGATAATAATAATGATAATATTATTATAAAATTATAAAAAATATAGTTATAATGATAATGATAATAGTTATGATAATAGCAATAATGATGATAACAATGATGATAATAATAATAGTAATATCAATATTATCACATCCTTCCAAATTTTTTTTATATATAATAATACTTTTGTCTCCGCTAATACTTAAGCTTTTGACTGTTATAATAGGTTCGTTGTCTCTTTTTACCGTCTGTGAATAGCGGAGATGTTGTCAGTGATACAGATTGTTAAGAAAATGATGATATGCACGCGTACGCACAGACAATTTTATGAATGTGGGTGGCTGGGTGAGTGTGTGAAGACTTGTATGAATATATATATATATATATATATATATATATATATATATATATATATATATATATATATATATTATAATTATATATAGATATACACACACACACACACACACACACACACACACACACACACACACACACACACACACACATATATATATATATATATATATATATATATATATATATATATATATATATATATATACATTATACATGCATATACTTATAAGTGTCTGTGCGTGCGTGTGTGTGAATGTGCGTTTGATTTTACTCCCAGAAACGTATTGATATCACAACGATTATTTGTCACTAATAATACATCTGCTCTACCATTGTTACTATATATATATATATATATATATATATATATATATATATATATATATATATATACATATATGTGTGTGTGTGTGTGTGTTTGTGTGTGTATACATTTTTTCGGTGTATGATACGATACAGGAATATAGATGTGTTCATATTGTTAATATATTTTCATGTTCATAAAATTTCAAGTTTTTTTTGTACTTGATGCATCGGATAAATCTGCCTTTATGATCTATACAAACCAGTAGTAAGATTTAGAACCGGAGCTGCACTATTGTATACTTTCGGAACGTATACACAGAGATAATGATATGCAAAATGTGTATCCTTTAAAACGAGGATATTTGCGGCACGAAGGTACAGTCGGAACTAAGTACATTCCCATCACAAGAAAATGCAATAAGTACCATTGACCATCGACTGTCAGAAACCATTCCCGGCCATAAAGTAGATGACTAAATACCTCAGTCAATGGATCGAGTTGCCAGTGCATAGTTATTTTGCAAAAAATTAATACGACGGATAGAGGAAAAAACTAACGAGTATTTTTCTTTTCTTATTCTTTTTCTTATATTGATATATATGATAATAAAGAAAATGCGTATCCAGGAATGGATTCGTGTACATGCTCAGTCGGTAACTACAGGTATGAGGTTTAATAACTCACGGTATTAAATACAGCAATGAAAAATAAATCCATTGTAATTCACATCTCGTGCAATTATATCGACGCACCTCACACTCGCCGGCGAACTAGCCAAACCGGGCCTCACACCACGCCGAACTTCGCTCACGCCGGCTATTAAGGCTGAACGTGGAGCCAGACCGCTGATCAGCTACTAGCAATTCTAATTTTCTCGTCACGTAAGGCATTCGAGACACGTAGAGGACCCCGACCCCCCACGGCGATACCCAGACGCACCCGCGGGCAGAGAGTGCAACACACCCGGGGTCACCCTACACCCCCACCCCCTTTCAAATCTCCTAATTCCTCCCCCACCTCACCCGTGGAAGAGAAATTGGCTGGGCCGGGGATAGAGTAGGATAGGGTAAGGATATCACACAGGGAGAACACGCCGTATCCCCTAGCAGGATGTCCCAAGGAAGGACTAGCGGGGTGACGCAAGGAGGGTGAGGGCCAAGGGGTGGCTGAGCACAGGTGGGGACAGGAGGGGAGGGAGGGAACGAAGGAGGGAGGGGGAGACGGGGGAAGGGTGTACAGGGCGGTGAGAGACTGTTTCCTTTTAGATAACGAAGGAATTTTCATTCTATACTTCAAGTATCAGGTTTTTCCTCCGGATATATTTCCTTGGAGGTAGGCCTATAATTTAACTGACATAAGCTCGACTCCACGGTTTGTAAATAAATGAAATTGGAAATATTTAGGTGAATGAATAAATCAACTTTGTAAACCACATCTGAAAGTATGAGTCGCAGCCATAATGAAAGGAATATTTCAAATATCGTGAGATACAGAGCAATCGTGTAAAATGAGATATTACAGAAATCATAGAACTACATGTATAAGAGTGATAAAAGCACGTTGTGAATAACAGTTTCGTTGCGTGGAATGTATTTCCTTCAAAGTGATAATAATGCAGTCTTTAATTCCGGCATAGAGATAATAATACACCTTATGTTCTTCATTTTTCAGGCATTTCAATGAAACCTGTGCGCCTACATTCCTGGTTTACACGTGACAGCTTAGCCTTGGCCTGGTTAGGTTATCTAGACCAGGAATGTAGCTTAGCCTGTTATCTAGACCTGATCAGATTTGTATCAAATAAGTTTTTAACGATCAAGGGGCCATAGATGGTGAAGTGTCGATTTGAAAACGCAGAATATATTATGACGCAATAGTATCCGTGTGTTTTGTCCTGAGAGATGTAAGGTGGAGGAAGGGTTGTCAGCAGCGCTTGCTTTCACTCATGTGCAAGCGCAAGCATCGGCCTTTAGGTTTATTCAGCAATAATGATGACCGGACGCCCCGTCAGTGTGTGCTGTGTGTTATCCTCACGTTGTGAATGTTGTTATTTGAATGAAGATAGTGCAAATGGTGAGTGTGCAAAGTTAGTGGTCGCAGCCGGTGGCGCCTCTGGTGGCGAGTGGCGGCAGCTCGTCGTGGGTCGGGTCGGGCTAGTCAGTCAGTCAGTCGGTGGGCCGCGTAGCCTTAGGACGCGCGCTCCTCCAGTGTAGTGATGATCATGTCCACTCGCCTCGGGCCTCGGTGACGACGCGTGTGACCAATACATTATTCCGCATCAAGTGTCAACCAGTACTTCACTCTTAAGTCTTTGTGATTTTGTTCTACATTTTTGTAATGATGGCAACAAGTTTCTTTTCGTTGGTGAAAGAGGAACCCGATACAGGACACGATATTATGGAAACTACACCTGTGGCACTGCCACCCACAAGCGTGGGCATGGGCGGTCATACATCCCCGGGGAGCGGTGGCCCACATGTGGGCGGCCCGCCCATGCAGGCCGGGATGCCTTTGACACCCGTGACCCCCACCAGTCTTCAGCCTCCCCCTCACCACCGTATCGAGATTGACCCCAACTTCGAGCCCGTGGCACGCTCGCGCTCCAACACGTGGCCGCTGCCCTGCCCCGAAGGCTACATGGAAGGGGAAGAGCCCGTGGCGGTCGCCACCGAAGGCCCCGTCCCCGTTGACCAGCCGCGGCCTCCGGGCGCCGTTGGTCCGGGCGACCCTCCGGGCGGCCCGCCCAAGAAGAACACCTCCCGCCGGAACCCCTGGGGCAACATGTCCTACGCCGACCTCATCGCACAGGCCATCATGTCGTCCCCCGACGGACGCGCCACGCTGTCCCAGATCTACGACTGGATGGTGCAGAACGTCCCCTACTTCAAGGACAAGGGCGACTCCAACTCTTCCGCCGGCTGGAAG